GGAGGCTAGATGGAAACCTAACCGTGGTCTTCGGTGGGGATCTATGATGTTTTGATGATTGGCATTATAGTGAAGGATGTATCCCGGGGGCATCAGACTCCGCGCTTTATTCAATAAAACTTTGGTGATTTTAGTGGGGATACAGAGAATGGGACGAAAGTCTAGGGCGTGGTAGCCGACCGCGTCCAGCGACGCGGCAAACTCCTCCCAATCGTTGGTCTCGGGTTTAAATCGACCGGGCATCTGGTTTAGTGGCATGGGGTCGGTCGATTAGGGTGGGACCACACTGCCGATCTGGGGGAAGACGAGGGGATGGTGGAATTGGAAGACCCCGACCCATCTTGAGAATCGCTACAAGAAGACATGGGACTATACTACCCAATAAAAAAGGCTAGGATGGCTAAGGTACTTACTTAGCCGAGGGCCGAACTTGAGAGGGGTGAACGGAGGAAAAGGCACCGGGCGATTTCAAGAATTGAAGGAGCGAGAAGTGAGAAAACTTTGAGGGGAAGGATTATATTTATAGAGTAAATGAGGGGCCGCCCACCTCGGCCAATACAGGGGTTGGGGGGGAGAATTCAAAATTTAAATTTTGAATTGGAATTTCAAAATTGTAGTGTGGTTTTGGGGGGAAACCAAAACAAAGAAGAGGCTAGGGAGAGCTCAAAATTTGAATTTTGAATTCAAATTTGTGTTATGGTTTGGGGGGAAAATCCGAACAAGGAAGGGGCTAGGGGAGGATCCTAGTATCAATATTTTTTTAAAATAAATGAGACCATGTTGATTTCGGTGCTAGGCGCTAGGGAGAGGTTTGAGATTGGCCACCAATACCCAAACGGTGCTTCGCTTTCCGGGGATGGGTCATGCTCAAATACTTCCTAGTCTTGGTGATTCTCGCAAAACTGGTAAGTGGAGGGCTTATTGATGGGTATATTACATACCCAGGTATACTCATCGATACCAAGGTGACGTGTCAACCATGAGGTCGGGTGACCAGTGGTGGTTCGGATCTTCCGGATTCGACTAGGTGGCTATTCGGAGCATGGCGCTGGGTGACCAATCACCCACGATTAAAGGTGACCGGTCACGGATCTTCTTTCCGGACTCAACTAGGCGGCTACTTTGGAGAATGGTGGTAGGTGACCGGTTATCCCCTGGATTTAGGTGACCGGTCACGATTGTACCTTCACCCTCGGCGAGATGGCATTTTGGATCACGGCGGTGCGTGACCGGTCACCCCCGGACTAAGGTGACCAGTCCCGTTTCTTGGTCTTCGGGGATGGTTGGTGCAGACATTTGGGAGCGGCTGTTGGTGACCGGTCACGGTCCGGATTAGGGTGACCGGTCACGGTCTTGGTCTTCAAGAATAGATGTTAGACGCTTTTTTGGTACGACATTGAGTGGCCGGTCACCCCCAGATCGGGAGACTGGTCACTATCTTGAGCTCTTGAGGAAATGAAGCATTGGGCTCGTACAACTTGACTGGTCTCACTTTTGAGCTTCGATCTATGGATCACGGCCGGACGTATCCGCCTCCCCCAAACCTTAGTATCTAAGAGATCAATGGAGGGACCCACACCCGGCACTCAAGAAATCAGTGTGGTAAAGTCCTTTGGCACCATCCTAGATTTGTATTCAATCAACATATTCTGATTGCACAGTAATAGATGCTGTCTAGTTATTTGTCCTAAAGTGGGCAGCTTCCATACACCTACTGAGCCTTCTCTACTCTATAAATAATCTGTGATAGAGAGAGGAGAGAGTATTCACTACTACTTCCATAAAAATCTGTACACTCTAGAAAGAGTAAGAAATATATTCGGACCCGGGAGATTTACCCCGGTCTAGGTAATTTTGTGTTGTGTTCCTTACTATTAAGCTTATCTTTATTTGCCCGGTTAGGCCTCCCTAACCCGACCCAGTTGCCTACTTCCCATACCCGGTGGAATTTACACCATGAGTAAGAATTTTTTAGGGGTGCTAGCTATATATGTAACCATTTCAATGAATTATGAATCAATGAATAAAGAATTTACTTTCTTCTAAACCCCAATCTCTCTCTCTTTCTCGCCTCTTTTGTTCTGGGAGCTCGAAGGTGCTCGAAATCCTTCCCTATCCCGGTACGATATCGTATCAGATTCACTTCAATAATTGAATGAATAGAATGAACAAAAAGAAGGGACAACAATGGTAATTAGTGGCAAACAAACATGTAACATCAAGAAGGCTCTGAATATATCTTTCTCAACCCGTTGTCGACCAACTTCTACTGCCTCCAATATAGAATAATAATAAGAGGAATTTACCTAAATAGCACTAAAGCATAATGACTTTCCTTAAATAGCACTACATTGTTTTTTTCTCAATGTAGCACTTTTAATCATTATCCATTAGTCATTATTCAAGTAAATGTTTGCTATCACTGGTCATTATGGACATTATAAAATGCTATTTAGAGAAGAAAACAATCTAAGTGCTATTTAGAGAAATGATTTAAGTTTAAGTGCTATTTAGTGCAAATATTTCATAATAATAATTCATAGGTTTCATCGGGTAACATGTAAATTATTATTACCCAAATCAAAAAGGTACATCAATTCTAGTGCCAACCACAACACGGTTACAAGCACTAATCACAAAATCTAAAAAAAAATACATCCACACACCGTCAAACACGAAACACAAATGAAAATCAAAAAAGGCAAGAAACTGCCCAATGGCACGCAGGCCTCAACAAAAAGAAAGTAATCCACATTTTGATTTCCGTCCTCATCTTCCTCGCAATTTCAACGTGCACTGACCAAAGTGAAAGGCAGAGCTTGATTGCCCGCTCCAAGATACAGGCCAAAAAAGCTCTACACCCAAACCAAGTGAGTCCAGACGTGCTACCCAAGTGTTGTACAGTCGAGTCCAAAGCAAGTCCAAAGAGCTCCATGGCCGGGCATGCTCCATTGTATCCACACTACGATCACCCCCCTATCTGTTGTCCTAGTGAAACTGGGACGACGAAGGCTATGTTCTGAGTTCACGATGTCGTCCACCCTCGCCAAGGAAGACAACAAAGTGCCAAGATCACCAGAGAAAGCTCTGACCATTCAAGACGGCATAAAATGATTGGCAATCATCCTCCAACTGACCGGGTAAGAGTATCGCTAGGATGTCCACAACAAGAGAACAAGAACCAGCGAGATCCTCCATCATTCGTACCAAAACTACCCCATCATCAACAGCGCCACTCAAGCGAATGTCGTGGACATCAAAAACAGGCATGATCCATAAACAAGGACCAGGAAGTTGCCCTTAGAATCCCCTAAGCAGTAGGGAAAGCCACAGTAAGGGGGGACCCCAAGGCTCCAAGAACAAGTGGCTAAGGACCAACCGTCCATCACAACTTCTCCCAAAAGCAATAACCAATTTTAGCCCTCCACAGCCCAAAGTCAGTCTACAACAACCCAAATTCAGCAGCTCCACCTCAATTGGTACCAACCAAAATCAGCAGCTCCACCATGTTCAGCCCATACACAAAATAGAACCAAATTCCAGGGGAATGCAGTTACGATATTGCATTACTGCCCAGGTCAATGGCAACAGGAAAGCCACTGTCCAGGTAGCACCCATAATCACCAATAATGAAGCAAAGTCCATACCAAGGTTGACCAGGCAGTCCTACCAGCAGGCGCAGTCATACCCAAGGCACAAACAAGGCACAAGGTTACTAGCTCCCTCCCCAACATCAACTTCCACACAACACAACTGTCAAGGGTTCAAATCAGTCCCTACCTCATGCAAATGAGGTAAGGTATGACAAAGTTGAGTCTTCAGGAGGTTGAGGGAGAGGTGGAACTTTCACGAAGACCATTATACCAGGGTAGATGTTCCAACATCAAGGCACAACCCAGAACTCACGAATTAGCAGCAAAGGATCAACAAAATCAGCCCAAAATCAGCAGTTTACTGGCCAAGTTATTAATGGGCAGGAAGCCTGTAATCCAGCCCCTGGAAGTGGCCAGACCTGCGCAAATGCCAGCCCAAAACCTGCCCAATAGACTATATTGTTCCATAAACCAAAACAGCCCTGCAAAATGGTCATTTCAATCATGAAACCCAATCCATCACCCAGCCATTCATGTGGCAATTGAGCATAGTCCAAAGCAGTCCCACAACTTCTCAACAGCAAAAAACATCAACAACAGAAATTGACAAAGCGAAAACCCCTTAGAAACCCAAAACAGCAGTGCAAATGCTTTTGAGCTCCATTTCCTCGTGCGTCACATCTCCAGATATTCAAACACAGTGGTACCAAAAACTGGAAATGCTTCCCAATTCCAGTCCCAATTCACGTCCAAAAATGCAGCAGCATCAAACAAAAGCAGCTCCAAGCATTGGGCTGCTGGTACGTACTCATATAGCAACACCAAAAACAAAAATGGAAAACCACAAACAGCAGGTGGTTGGTTCCAAAATCATACCCCACAGAGAAATAAATAATAATTCACAAGTAGTTATCAAAAATTGATCAAAAATTTGATACAATTCGAAGACCCCAGTAGCTCTGTGAACAGTGACTACGATTCCCAAATGCCAAAATTCAAAGTGAAAATCAAATGGTGTTGAAATCCAACTTCATAAGATGGAAGAGGATTACAAACCGCTCAAAAAAACCAGAAGAGTAGTCACCAAAATGCTCTGGATCGAAGTGAACCCATGAGACAAAAATCGCGATTTGAACAGTACCAGGCACCCCGTTGACCTTCGTTTTTCCAGAAATTCATGACCAAAATCAGCAAAATAACCTCATAGATAGATTCACCAGCTGAAGGCGCATCCAAGGCTCCAAAAATCACAAGAGCGGAGCTTCAATCGATGGAGGAAGAGAGGATCTTCAACTCGCGGTACTGTTCACTTCGGGTTCTAGAGAGAGAAACCCCAGCTCCATTGATTATTATTGATAGCTCTTACAGTACTGTTCAACTCGCGGTCCTGTTCACTTCAGGTTCATAGAGAGAGAAACCCCAGCCTCCATTGATTATTCCCATAGGTTCCATGTTTCAATCGCATGTGGTTAATACTTCGTATAATAGTTTTGGTATAGCTCTGATTTATATATGCGCAATATGGGGGGTTGGGTTTCTAAATTTGGATAGGCTTAGGTTTTTACGGAGTAAATAATACTCCCTCCGTCCCACTGTCTTTGTCCACTTACCTTTTGGCACACCATCTAATGCACTTCTTTAATTCATTTTATCTTGTAATTTGTATATTAAAAAATTATAGAAATTATATATTAATAATCTATATGTTAGGACAAATCAAACAAGATCACACATGACTATATTTAGACTTACACATTGAGAGAATTTGATGAGTCAAAGTGCTTAGATGAACAATTCCAAAAGTCAAAAGTGGACAAAGACAGTGGGACGGAGGGAGTATTTATTATATTATAATTTTTTGTAATTTATGCATTATATTGCAACATCTATTTTGTTCATAACTTTTTATACATAAGTCCAAACTTGGCAAACAATATGTTGTTGGTAACCTTTTCACGAGATTTATCCAACGACCCAAATTTGGATATATAATATTTTCTCTAGGATATACCTATATTTTTATTCATTTACTTTATTATCTTTGTATTCTTGGTGCGGTCAAGTCACTGAGTTTCGTAACTCATATTCATGTTCGAAATATACCATTGAATTTGTCTTGTCGAGACTTTCAATTCGATTATAAATTTAACTATAGAAAAAATAACATTGAAATAACTTATTTTAGCACTGTCGTTTTAATTTTTTATTTAATTTAAATAAAGCAGAAGTACTTTTTATTCAAAATTCATTATAATATTCTTGGGTATATCCCTGGGTGTTACAACAAGTATACTCCTCCAACAGTAACTCGGTGCACTACCAAGTTTGGCTTCAAGGAAAGAGTTTCTGGGATTGGTCAGAATGTGCCAGCCTTGCTTACCTAAAAAATGGGTTTTAAAAGCTGATACATTGTGAAACCCCATTCTCCCACGAAAGCCAATGAATCCCCTGTCCCAGGTTGCCTTTACTCATCCACCAGAATCCATTCATTGTTCTCTCAAGTGATTGAAAGAAGGTGCCAGCCTTGCTTACCTAAAAAATGGGTTTTAAAAGCTGATACATTGTGAAACCCCATTCTCCCACGAAAGCCAATGAATCCCCTGTCCCAGGTTGCCTTTACTCATCCACCAGAATCCATTCATTGTTCTCTCAAGTGATTGAAAGAAGGGAGCCCGGGATATTTTCCCCCTAAAAAAGAAGGGAGCCCAGGATATTTTCTAAAGCAGGATGTCTGCTCCACTCCGCAAAAACTGACAAGCTAGTATCACGTACGTACCCCTCGGGGTATTAGAACTAAAACAAATATTGGACTTCTGAAAATTGATGACTTGGCCTAACAAATTGAAGGTCTCGATGAGCGTGACAAGCACCATGAAACTTCACTAGCTTCTTTGTAACGCCCTGAAATATACCTTAAGATTAAATAAGGAATTTCTAATAAATTGTAGTTCAAAATTTTGTTTAAATAAAATAAAAATTAAAATGACAATACTAAAAATTTAGTGATTTACTAAGTAATTTTTATGTTAATAGTCAAAGTTATACTCAAATTGAAGGTCTCGATGAGCGTGAATCTGAGGTATGAAGCGAAGTGACTTGATCGCCCCAAGTTAAAAAGATAATAAAGAAAAAAATAAAATACAAGTATGTCACAACGAAAATATTATATACTACCTCCGTCCCTGAGTATTTGTCCAATTTTGACTTTTTTCAGTCAACCATTTTCAACCTTTGAACTACAAATAAATAAAATATATATTGTATTTTAATTAATAAAATAATATTTTGAAAACATTTCATATAATAAATCTAATAAAACTATTTTCATATCAATATCTACTATTATTTTTATTTAATTTTAGGTAAACGTTTATCAATTTTGACTTAAAAAGTCAAAAGTGGACATATACTCAGGGATGGAGGGAGTATCAAATTTGGGTCGTTGGGTAGGACTTGTGAAAAGATGACAAAAGACATACTCCCTCGGTTTGGAAAAAATGTTCCTCTTTTGACTTTGTATAAAAATAAGGAAGTATTAAATTGTAGTTGACTTCCAATTTTGCCCTTGATGTGATAGGTAAAAGTAAGATGTGATGGATAGATTATTAGAGATAAAGTATGATGTGATAGGTAGGGTATGAAAAAGTAAGGTTAAAAGTAGTTTTTTAATAGAAAGTGGAAGTGTTTTGTTGAAAGTGAAAAAATGAAAGAGGAAGTGTTTTTTAGAACGGAGAGAGTATTAGTTTGTCAAGTTTGGAATTATGTATAAAAAATTATGAACAGAATAGATGTTAAAGTAGAATAAATACATAAAAATTTTACTATAATATTACGAGGAATTTACCTAAATAGCACTAAAACATAATGACTTTCCCTAAATAGCACTGCATATGTTTTTTTTCAATGTAGCACTTTTAGTCATTATGCATTAGTCATTATTCAAGCAAAATTTCGCAATCACTGGACATTATGGACATTATAAGTGTTATTTAGAGAATAAAACAGTTTAAGTGCTATTTAGGGAAATGACTTAAGTTTTAGTGTTATTTAGTGCAAATATTTCTAATATTACGGAGTAGTAAATTAAACTAATTGCCGCCCCAAAAAACCTACCCTAGCCCACACGTGTATCTACATATACGGAGTATTTAATAATGTCTTGCTGCGCATTATGGTGGGAAAAAAAAAAAAAGCTACGGAGTAGTGCTAATTGGCGGATGGACCATACGCAAGGCCTGGACGAAACCTTCGATGGTTGTTGCTTGTCGTTGTCTGTTGTGTGTTCTTCTTGATTGTTGATTTGGTTCCATCCAATCGAGGTGAGTCGTGGTTTCTATATCTCTCATCAGAACTGATTTGTAGCCTAGGATTCGTTAATATATTGTCTCCCAACAAATGCTGAATTTGTAAATATAATTATGGATTGTTGTAATTGATTGTTGAAATCATGAATTTAAATTGGGAACTTGCACTGTTCTTCTACTCTTGTTGCTCTCTATTGTGCTCCTGCTCTTTTCTGGTTCATTCTTCTTGTTTTGCAATTACATTGCCTTCTTTGTTCTTCTCGGCTCTGTTTCGCTGCTGCCACCCTGCCCTTTGCTGCTGTACTGTTCTGGTCGCCGGAGACAGGCGCCATAGCTGGTGCTGATGGTAGCCGACTAATGCTCGTTGGTCATCGCCTTGAAGAATGAAGAAAACATGATAAAATTTAGGATGGGTATGGACAACTGGATTGGGTAATAAGACACTTGGGTTGAACCATATTAAAAGATTGAATCCAATCGATTATTTAGTTCAACTCAAGAGCTTATATACCGATCAATTTCCTCACACTAAACAAGACCAACCTTCTTCATAATAGACTTTAAAATATAAATAGTGACTCCAAAAAATCTAATTACTAAATTAATGAATTTAATATCTTTACGCTCTGATATATAACCCAAATTGATAAATTTATCAAAGGTAAAGGTAATATAATATGCTCAAGTAGAGGTTTGTCATAGTATAAAACTTATCAGTGAAATTTATATATTAAATTGAACTTATGAAATAGGCCACTTAGTAGATCTAGGCAGATTTGAGTTGAAGTATGTATTGAAAATCATTAATAGGAATGAGATTAGAAATTAAGGTCATGCAGGTGTTATTGCACACCTGATGGTCTCAAGTGTTAAAAATGTATGTACAAAGGTCAGTGACCCCGATACAACTCGGTTTTCTGCTTCTGATGAGAGGAAAATTGGTGAAAATAACATTGAATCCGAAGAGCGAAACTAGTGTTGTTTCGCCCCCTGTCTCCAGTAGATATCCTTTTGATCTAGTGTTTTTTATAGCTCCCAATCTGTTCCTCAAAATTTCTGAAGACCCATCGATCACGCCTCCGCTTCAACATTCAACCTTTGTCTTCAACTCTTTAATACATTTACCAAATCTCTAGAATCGATCGCCCTTATGTCTTGAGTGCCCTCCCACACTGCTCCAGCTTGGCATTAAAAGACAGGGACGCCGTCCCTTTCCACGACTCTTTGAGGATATCTTTAAAACCTTCATCGTGAATCCAAGCGTTCTCAAACAATAAATGCCTTCTGCCCACCCGCTGCTCGAAGCTCTCTAGGCATAGTAAGAGAGCAAAATGGTCGTTAATATTTTGTACTTTAAACTGTTACATCTTAATGATTTTCACACATAATTTTATAGATCATCGATAATATATTATTCTATACCTATTTAATATTACGAAGTAATATTTTAGGGATGATGTTGCTTAATCACACGTCGCCTCCCTTGACTCTCTCTCGATCTTCTCTCTCGCGACTCCTCTCTCTCTCTCTCCCTCCCTTGATCGTACGAACGATCGATGACCACAAAAAGAAGAGAGAATAATAAGATAAAGAGGAGAAGACTTATAGCTGCAGCCCGTTGACACTAGTATGGACCAGTGTTATTCAAACCGAACCGGATCTGCTGTCCAACCAGTTGGCCCGAGACCGGTCGATTCCTAGGGTTAAATTAAAAATCACTTTTCAAAAGAAGAAGACACACGCCTCAGATTCGAACCTCAATCAATTCAATCGTCGAGTTAGAGATTATCTACCTAAGCTAGTGCGGAAGTTGTTTAACACCACATGCAACGTGTTGGCTATAATATATCTGGTGTTTAAATTATCTAGAAAATACTCCATACAAAGCAATTGAAAAACACTCTTAATTATTAAAAAAGAAAACTATGATTATATAATTCATTTTATGAACTTTTAAAATAGTTCAAAGTTACAAATAATAAGTATTATTTACGGAGAATTGTTTATCTAAAAAAAGGTATCAATAACATGTACTTAAAATATTATTTTCACCTTTAAAATATTAATTATAATTTAAGATGCTAAATTTTTTATTTTATCAATCATTTTAATTAACTAAATACAAATGATAAAATGTCAATAATATGTAACACATTATCTAGTCTTTACATTTTTGAAAATATGAGTATTGTCTAACTATTTAAGGATTTGTTAGACATTCCTTATTAATT